AAGAGATCCCAAACCAAAGTTATAGAAGTAGAAGTTATAGAAGCACAATCATGGTAGAGATATAATTTCTTTTTTGCCTCAGCTATATTTTGGCACAGAAAATGGAGTATAAAGCCCGTAGTCGTAACTTTTGAGTAGAAAACACTTAGGAGTCACAGCTACAACTCTGGATCAATTCTGTGTCAACAGCTGTTGCTGTGATATGTGGATCCTGAAGTGCCTCGCAGGGATGGAATCAGGAGACTTCGATCTTTCAAACAATATATAATTTGCCAAGATTATGTGAAGAGTGAGTCCAGCACAGACTAAAACACTGAGTCTGTACTTGATTTCTGTTTGTTTTGTGTGACACTGTCATGGTCATAAAATAATTATTTTATCTGCAGTGCAGCAGCTTGGCAGTGGTACAATTGAATTTCACACTTGTTCTGTTGTCTGACAACAGAAACAGAAAAATATCTAAATAGGAACAATTGTATTGTGAATTCAGCTCAGTTCAGTGTCACATTAAAACACACTATTTGTGATCAGAGAGTTGTGTCTACCTCGCTCTCTCTCTCTCTCTTTTTACCAACTTCTCACTAACCACAGTCATGAAAAACTACTTTACAACATACAAATGCATTGCATTGTAAATATTATAATTTGAAATGTTCACTCCTCAGTTATGGAGGAGCTGATGGAGACAGTGTGTGTAGGGGTTATTTTTACATGTCCCAAGTGAACACTTTCAACACAGTCGGCTTGAAAGTGTCAATACTTCAACAAGGCTTCTTCAACCCATTGCTAAAAGGCTTTCACAGTCTCCAGATCTCAACCCAACTGAACACCTATGGGAGATTTTGGAATAATGTGTTAGACGGCACTCCCCACCATCATCAAAACACCGAATGTGAGAATATCTTTTGGTTGAATGTTGTTCATCCCTCCAGTAGGGTTCTATGACAAGGAAGTGATGAAGCTGATTTAGAAGCTCAAGGTGGAACAGCATCATACTAAGACACTATTGCTGTTTCTCGAATTGGATATTTCAGTAAGTGCACTCACATGAAGTACACTGTGTGCACAGTATACTCACTGGTGTAGTGCGTTAATTTCAACAGGGGAGTTTTGTCTTAAATCAAACACTGCCGTTGTGCACTCAACGGAAATGACGATCGCAACATGTGACCGCGATTGTTGCCCACCTGCCGGCTACTTTGCTCACTTGACTTCCAACTTTGACTCTCCTGTGTGTGCCCCCCTGTGTCATGCGGACCCAGACAAACTACAGAGGTGTAACAAATTCATGGAAAAAACCCACATATATGCTACCAGAGAGCAATGATAAGTTGATTTTTCAACTGACTGCCCAATATATCATTATCAAATTTTCAGAACTAATATACTGTATATATATATATATAAATCAAATATTAATATCAGTATTGGCCTTAAAAACCCACGACTGGCCGGGTGGATTTCACTGTTCTGAAATGTGAGCTGCTCCAGCAAAGATTAACTGGGTCCAGAGCCACAAAAAGATCAGCATGTGAGACACTCTGATCATGGAGACGGACATTGTTACACTGGCTAGTATGACGTATCGTCTCCGACAGCTGCAACAGACCCTGAATGTGACGCAGCCGGATCCGGTGGACAAATTTATTCCCGCTACCTCATCATTGTAATTCGCTACCTCATCATTGTAATTCATTGTAATTCACAGTGTAATTTATTGTACCCTACATATGCACATCTCCACTTTACTTATGCACACCCTCACTTTACATACCTGTACAGCACACACTTGCACTTTAACTGCTCTTTTGCACTTCTGGTTAGATACTAACTGCATTTCGTTGTCTTAGTACGTGTACTCTGTGCAATGACAATAAAGTTGAATCTAATCTAAAGTTGAATCTAATCTAATCCAAATGGCCGTGATAGAAGCTCCAAAGTCATTCTGGCATAAAAGTCATAATAAAGATACTGAGTGTATACTGTATGTGCACCCTTAACTTTATTTCACAGTACTTTGTCTGAAAGCAGATAATATAGTATTAAGAAATAAAATACAAAAAAAAAACAACACATTTTTGTGCTCTTGTTTGTTTTGATGCACTTGAACAACAACTGTTGATCTTTCTAAAGGTTTTCTCAACACTTTAAACTTGTATTAGACACAGAAGTGCTACAATATGCAAGTATAAAAACATGTTGCTAAATAGCTAAATGAACTAGAAACCTGACAGCTCTCAGAAGATACTGAAATGCTTTTATAAAAAGAACAACAAATGGAGACTCATCAACATTATCAACATTGAAATAAAACAAAAAGGAAATTTACACTTGTACACATATCCCAAAATCTTAAGGCGGTTGAAATATTAAGTCAGACAACCAAGTTAACACTTTACAAGGTGCTTACATAACACATTCGCATCAGGCTCATGAATGCTTCATTTCACATTAATGAATAATAACAGTGTCATGACACGCTTACAAGAAATGGACGCAGCGTTACCACACAGAAAAATATAAATGGGCCAACAGATGCCTGCAGTAATACTTACATACTCAATGTCTAATGGAACAAAAAAAAAAGATTTGATAAAAAATGTGTCACTAGACAAATCCATTCCCTCGGGTCAGCTCTTCTATCTCAACTCACCACACATACATTGTAGTATAAGTCTGTCCTGCTTTAATGCTTTTTCATTCATTGATATGGAATTGTTAAAATATTTATTTACCAAGATGGAAGTTAAGCAGAAACAGAGGAGCAGGTGAGATGATCTGACAAACAGTATCTTTGGAAAAGTGCAACAAGAATCAAAGCAATAAAGAAAGTTTTACGTTAAAGAGGAAAACACAAAAGATGTTTGTGCTCCAAAAAGTCGATGGTCATCTGTAATCTGGTGATTTTTTTTGTTTAAAGCACCACCGATTCCGGGCAAAGTTGTATTACGGCTGTCCAACATAATAAACTACTAATTAGTTTTGTTCGAATTTATGAAACGAGGACCACAGTAAGTGAGTTTCCAAGTACTTGTGTTCATGTGCATAAAAGAACTTGAAGCCTAAATATTAGAAAAATTAGCACCATCAACTGTTGATCTCAATGAGGCCAACTCCTAGATGCACTAAACAGCTATTTTTTTTTGGAGGTTTTTTGGTTATTCGGTTAAAATTTGCACTAAACTTGCATGGACACTAATGAGAGCAGAAAATTTAAAATATAAAGAACACCTGCTGCTGCTTGGGAAATAGTACTCTTTGTTTCCTTAAATTCAGACAGCCCTCGAAAATGACTGGTGTGAAATTTATCTGCTTGACCTCAAAGAGCTGTTCTCTGCTTTTAGATAAAGCCACATCCTACACTGACAACACATTTAATGTTATATCCAAACAAATGAGTAGGAAAATTGAAAGCATATTTATTGCTCATTCATAAATCTGCAATGAATCATCATGAGCCTGCTCGGAATAAGTTATGTAAAACAACTTACAAAGAAAAAGCGGTAAAGTCTTATATTTACTCAAAAAATTTCATGATATACAAATTCACAGCCAGTAAGTCAGAGGATTCAGTTTCACATTCTCAAATTTTACTCTAGCATGTTGATATTCGTCTGGTATGTAGCTTTCATAATATACAAAAAGATTGAACAGCCTAGCAGTTAAAAATAAAATGAAACCTCTCAGCAAGCAACAAGGCCCAGCCGAATAACAGATTATTTTTCCGTGTTTATCAGATCAAACATTATGCAGTATAATACACTGGAAGAAATATTAAAGCAAAGGAAAAAAAAACACAGCCAGTAATAGCATTAAATAAATATTTCCTTGAAAATATACATAAAAGCTGCCATAGACAGATCAGAATATGTATCTGTTACATTCATCCATCGGGCTCTCCTGTAGGGATGAACAGCTCCCTGTGTACCTAAACAACAGGTGACAAAGTACAGCTACCCTCCCTTTTGAAGTGTTAGTGATTAATAATAGGCTTTCAATACCATATTGTGTGTGTGGATGTTACGGTTTCCCAATGTTTCCACCTTTAAAGGAGTAACTGATACAATAGAAAAAAGAGAAGAAGTCAACATGGACCTACTGCTGTATGTTCATACGATTTCCAGACTGTGCAGAAATATTGTAAACGTTTCAGCTTTTTCTACTTTGGTACTAAAGATAGAAATGATGGCTCATGAAACTGATGAGCTTCATTACAGCATGTGATGATACTGCATCTTGCCTGCATGAAGTCTATCAGCAGCCATCCAGTGAAAACTACGTTGTGTGATTTAGGGGACTTTAAAACTGAATCCATCTGTATCTTGTAAAATGGATGTAAAAGCTTTAAGAAAGATAAGAATAAGAAAAAAGAAAAAAAGAACAGGCGGTGATGGTTAAAAAGACAAATATTCTGACAGGTTTAAAGTGGGACATGCCGTTCTTTAGCAACAAGATAATCTAAACAAACAGCGCTCCATTTGATAAACCTGATTCATCCACTAGTACGGTTCCATTTACACAGCAAACATTGCAAATATAGAAACCCATATCTGTACATAGTTTTGTTGAATTAAACAAATGCAGGAAGGGAAGGAAAAGAAAGTTCATTTTGAATGAAATGTCCAGATAGTTCGTCAAAAAATATTGAGGTTTCATTAGACATATCTTCATATAGTAGTTTCATATTACACAACAGCAAATCCACTGTCACAGGACTTGGCCATGCGATACCCAAAAACCTATAATCCATTGTAACATATATATTATTAATTTGCAATATATTTTCTCTTTAATAGATAAAAGTTTTCCCGTTGGATGCTTTACATAATATGACAAATTTAAAGAATGTTTACCCCATTTTCCTCACAGTCAAAAGAGAATTTTTTACACGTGAGTGAGTAGTTGATTATAATATGGAAGTTTCCATTGATTCAATTGTCAGATGAGGTTCTTGTGTCATTTATGCAATGTGTGGTCCATTTTAAAAACACCTAAAGAGGTTATGATTTATGTTGGGCTGAAACACCTTTCCAGTAGTCTAAAATATCATGCAGGTCCTCATCCTTTGCAAACTGGACTTTCTTACGCAGTGCATGCCCTGCAGCCATGTACTCCTCGTCTTTGTGCCGTTTCCGGTGGAGTTTGAACCGCTCCCAGATGCTGTGTGAAGGTTTGCAGTAGTACTCGGGACTGGAGGAGTAGCTTAGATTGTGATACTGAGAGGACAGCTGGGAATATGCTAAGTCTCTGGAGCGGGAGTGAGTAAGAGGCTCCAACATGGAGGACTTGTGGCTCTCGGGGCCTTCAAGCTCTTCTATCTGAGCATCAGGATACGAGTGCCGGTGGTCACTGTACTGACGGATCTTCTCTGCCTCAGCCCTCAGGATGGTGGCAGCAGGTGTTACAGTGAGGATGGTCTCTCCTGTTGGGGAGGTTTTCTCTATGTACTTGGATTCAGAGCGATAAGGCCTGGGGCTTCGCATGGGCCCTCCAGTGGCAGTGCTGGGCCTCTTTGGTGAGACATCAGACGACCGATGTCTCTGCAGAGAATGATGGTAGCTGTCCTTGTACACTGGAGACAGAAGGCCAGATTTACTCTGTGGGTGCTCTGATATTAGTACGAGCTGAGGCTCTGCTGTGGACACTGCACCAGATTTCACCCCTTGAAAAGAGGTGGATTCTGACTTCAGAGCATCTATACAGTTGTTAATAATCTGATTGACTTTATCCACCTCTTTTGCAATGGTGGAAATCTCCGCCACTGACCCCTGGCTATTCCCAGCCATTCCCATGTCGCACTCCCTGCGTTCGTGGTGGTCCACACTTCGCACATCCATGTAATTTCCTTTCATCATTTTAGGAGTATCACTTATCTCTTGAAATTTGTACTGCTCCATTTCAGCAGCAGATGGTAAGTATGGCATACGTGCCATGCTCTCCCCAGCCAACAACTGCTTCTGTGACATTCGAGAAATAGTTCCTCCTTCCAGTTCTTGTCCGTATTTGAGCTCCATTATATTTTTCTTTAGGCTTCCTGATTTTTTGTGCTTTTCATCTTGCTGACGCTTTCTTCGCAAGCAGTAGTAGACCACCCCAAGAAAAATGACCATGCTAAAGAGGCAGCCTAAAATTGTCATAATGTAATGAGTAGCAGTTGCATTGTTTACTGCTATGTCCTTTTCAATCCGAGGGCCGGTAGTGACTGTCAGACAAGTGTGGTTGTGTCTAAGAGAGTTGCGTATTGAAGCGACACAGTATGTGTAGTTAGTGTGGGGTTTAAGGTTTTTTAGTTCAATATCCTCCTTTATGTCTTTCAGATTTTGAATATCTGTGAAGAAGCTGTTGTTGTAGAGAACCAGGATGTACATCTTCTTGTAAGGATGAGGAATCTGAACTGTGATGGTGGCCCCTGTATTGGTTACTTGCTTCACTTTCATCAGAGGGGTTACCTCCCCACTGCTGTAGGTTGTACTGATGGTAATGTCATCTGGTTCTGTGCCTGAGGGGCAGTCTTCCAGCCCACAAAGTGTTGAGTCAGGTGGAGGTGTTGTAGACTCAGTAGGCACAGCAATAAATGGCGTCACATAGTCATCAGTACAAACCGTTGTGAGCATGTGAAGTGCATTTCGATATGTTGGATTGTTAGGATTCTGGCTCAGTAAACTATAACCAGAGACGCCAGGTGGGGAGTCGCAAACCATCCGCTCATTCGTCCTGTTCGGGAAAACAGAGAGCCATTTGACAAAACCAAGTAATTCACATGAGCAGTTGAAAGGGTTGGTGTATAGCTCGCAGGTGGTCAGCTTAGTCAGACTGGTAAACGTGGACCCATCTAACTGCTGGATTCGGTTCATGGAGAGGTCAATGTTCTCTATGTTGGGGCATTCCCAAAAGGCATTGGGTGTCACAGTCTCAATCAGGTTTGCCTGGAGGTAGAGGTACTGCAGCTTTCCTAAACCCCTGAGGATTCCCTCTGTCAGGTTCCGCAACTTGTTGAAGCCCATTTGAAGGACTTGTAAATTAAACTGAGCAGAAAAGGCCCCGTCCTCTATGTAGGAGATTTCATTCTTTGTCAGGTTCAGGTAGGTCAAGTTGGCAAAGCGACTAAGGGCAGAATAATGAATACTTTTGATCTTGTTTTCATTCAGACGAAGGTCCACAATGGTGCTGTTGATATGCTGTGGGATGGCCTCATAAGGTGGTTGGTTTTGGCTACAAATTGCAAGCCATACAAAGCCCTTTTCACCCTCAATTAACCAGCAGTCTCCACTGACTCTGCCAATGTGAGTCAAATATACAATGGCTACAGACCAAAACAAGGCACTCATCACCATGCCTAAGCTGCAGGCCATTGGTGCTTCTCTGAGAGTCATGTGCAGGGCCAAAAAAATGAGAAGAGGGTGGTACTGCTGTTGTTTCAGTACAGCTTAGATGATCCTGTTGTTCTCAGGGCCAGAAACAATCCCTTTATTTGTGTCCTCTTCATTGATGGATGGTTCTATCCCCATGTACAACTCAGAAAAATGTTGAGTATTTGCCTTTATACTGAGTTTCTTTCATTGAGGTTTGCCTGCAGTGAACTTATGGCGGTGTGGTTTAAAAGAGATTTCACCACCTCAGGTTGGCTTGTGCTTTTCTCCTTAGAGGTTACCATCATTAAATGGTCTCATCATATTGTTCCTGCCACTGTCTTCCTTCCTCTTTCTCTCTCATGTGCACGGAGGAATAACCTGCAATATAAGGACAAGAACAGAAAGTTGACATTAATTACATTTTATCAGGCTAGGAAATGCACTTATATGGCATATGCTGGTATTGAAATGTTGCACTTAGATCTTAGGAGTCATGTTTACTGCAAGGTCTCCTTGTTCATGGCCCACCAATTATTTTGTACACAATTTAAGAGGTGTTTGCAGTCCCTGTGGCAGACTGCTATTAAAGGAAACTGTTGGCCAATTACCACTTGACAGGTTGGGAAAAGCAGGGTCCCTGTTTTCACACCATTAACCTGAGGACTGTCAGATGCAACTGAGGGAGGCCAATGTTAAGAAGCTGCATTAAATCAATTATACAACACCACATGAAATGACACTTCAGATCAATGTATTTAGGATTTTCCTCTGAAAAACTTCATGCATAAATTAAAGTCTTTTTGGCACTGGATTATATAAGAGAAAAGAGGGAATTTGTCTTCAAGGGGGTGATTACTGGATCATACCTAAATTAGATTAAGATCTTTTGGAAGACAAGCCATGGTTACAAAATGGGAAAATAAAGTTGCTCTATAATCTAAAGAGCAAGCACCCACAGAAAGAAAAATGTCTCTAAATTATTATTTTCTCTTTTTTGACACTTGTTTATCTTGTTTCTAGTTTTCAGGTAAAAGGTACATTTTAAAAGGTTGGGCTAGACTAAAAGCCATTTTCTACTCTTATTTTAAAATTTTTTTAAAATCTCACAGATAATTTAAAACCATATTTAAAGTGGCAGTCTCAAAGATTTTCATTTAAAGAGTTTTTGAAGTCAATATCTATCACTGAATGAGGTAACACAATGTCCCACTGATGAAATGCTATAAAAGTACTTGCATTTTAGTTTTATGAACTGGGTGTCAAAAAACCTGCAATTACCAGGTATTGCCATAGGTGGAGACTGCTATTAAAGTGATCCTGTGTAACTTTTGCTGAAATTACAGCCAGTGAGTGACACTTGCAGGATGATGATTAAAAATGCAGTGTAGCAATAGCACTTGTAGATCAAGGTCATAAAGTCAGCAAACTTGCTGTGAAATGTCAGCGGCACAGCAGAATTATCAAAAGCTACCTAACATTAGCCATCTGATCATACTAGACCACGTAAGGCTGTAACAGCAAAACCCCAGAGTATATTGAGCAAGGGTGTGTTTTATAGTTCTTTTTGTGCTAGATGAATTCATAGCACAACCTTACTCTATTCCATCACCAAGTCACTCATTATTATAGCCGTCATTATAGACTTTAATTGTTCATTCGTCAATGTATTGCTGCTGACAAGGAAATAAAAAAATGAATGTGATGCTTCCCTTTGCACAGGTATGCAGTAGTGGATGAAAGACTGCAATTACCATTAATAATAATGAAGCAATTTGTTGGATTGATTTTAACATGCAGCAAGGGGATGTTTTTACTGTACTATGTGAGGAAGGATATCATATATATTGAGCTATGAGTTACTAATTTGGCATTTTAATCAGCGAAATGTGCATTATTTCTTAAGCAAATACAGATTTTTGTAGTGCTTAGGCTCTTTTTTTTCTTTTTAATTTTTAGGATACAGTTATGTTTATGTATACAGTGCCCTTTCTGAAGGGGGATTTTCAGTCATTTCCTCCATTGTTCAATGTCATTTCCACCATATTCACATATCTAGTGTAATAAACAGCAATGACGATAGTATTAATTGCCTTTCATTTCTAAATGTAGACCAAAGAGAACACGATTTGTTTGAGTAGTTCCTACTGTTGTGTAACCTCAGAAATATGTAAGATCAGTATTGATCTTGTTATAGCCACTGATTTGTAATAAATGAAAATACTAATCAAAATGTGGTAGAAATGAAGACACTGCATGAAGGTTGGTGAAAACATAGCCTCAGAGATATTGATGTGCTTCTGTTCTCTCTTAGTTCACCAGTTCTGCCTTTGACACAGGCCAGGATGGTTTGCCTTGTGGGGGGACACAGGGGGTGAGAAGGGGCTTTTGTGTGTTAGAGGACATGTCTCCACACAACAGAGATTATCACACTGTTAGAAGAGATGAAATGTGACAGTTAATGGCAGAGGGAATATACTTCAAGCTGAAACCCCACCTGCCATCGTAGACCTAAAGACCATTCCTGCTGTCATTTGACCTTTTGTGAGTTAGGTTTATCACATTACAATCACACGAGTGTTGTGGTTCTCCTTATCGTACATCACCTTCGTGATGGAGTTCTTGCTGCACTGAAACACAATTACACAGTTTTTTCTTTTCGTTTGGTCACCGACTAGGGACCAGCACCACATTGTCTTGTTTAATGGGTAATGGCAGTAGTCTTACTAATGCCTTAAATGCATGGCTTGGGTGGGTCTGCTCTGCAACCCTATTTCATCACTCAACAGCCTTCTCTCCTAGAGTTTACTTATTTGTTTTGCTCAGTTATGTTTTCTCATACTTTTTTATGTTTTTATACCACATGCAAGTCTTATGGAACTGGTCGGGGTGGATAGTTGTCATACAATTACAGGGTAATGTAGTATAACAATAGCACAAATAGATTAAAGTAATAAGCACCCCGTCTCTGGAGTCAGGACTTTAACACCAGAGACAAAGGTTTGCATCCTGAGCCTTGCATGTGGTTAAGTTAAGTTTAGGGAGCAATCACTTTGCTTAGGGGAAGATGGTGGTTTTGTCTAAATTGTTAATAGAATAACCATGTAAATCAAGCCGACTTTTTTAATATTTAACTCAGACCACAGTCTTTACATAACCTTAAGCAAGTGCTGCAAGTGCCTAAATATAGCCTTAAAAAATGATATATAATAACACAGCATAAGAACTTTGAAATAATAATGATAATAACAGATAATAACAGAATAATTCTTTTGCATGGTATAGGGTGAAAAAAGGCTGTTCTGAATCATGCCAACAGTGAGCACTGCACTGTGATAAACTGATACACTGGAACATTGGTGCTATAAGGGCTTCATATGTTTCACGTAGATTTGAGTTGGGCCTAGAGGGTGAGCTTATATGTGAATCTGCTGTATAGCTCATATATTAGCCTATTTGTGCTTTACATTCCATAAATTTACTATAAATAAGGAAGCTGGTACAGTATGTTTTCTTTGCCTATTCGCTATTTCTGCTTTCCCATTCCCACTCATTACCAAATGTGGTGAGTGAATCCACACTACAGCATGCTATTTTTGCTATGTGGTGTATGCAAAAATCACATTTTAACTTTGATATTTTGTTTAATGGCAGTCAGCATGAACATTGTATTGGCAATATCAGTTTTACAAAGTCCATAACTGAGGGCTGACCCTGTCACTGAATTCGGATCTGTGCGTCTATGGCTTTCTACAAGACATTCCATACACACATAAAAGCACATGACCTGAGTTTCATTCAAAAGTGCATAAAAGAAAGCATTGTAAACACAAATGAAAGGCATTTTTGGTGCAGAGAAACAGTTTTTATTGTCATTCTCCTTGGTTTACACAGCACAAAGAAATTATCTGCTACGGGGCTCAGATAATCAAGTAAAGGCAGTGGTCAGCTATTCAGGTCCAGATAAAGAGCAGGACGACATGCTGTGGTGTACGACACTGCAACAGAATGCCAAAGGCTGCCACAACAAAACCACCTTCATGACGAGAAAAGAGCAGCGGCAGAGGAGCAGCGAAGAAAAGAACACTCTCAAAGCCCCTGGGAAGAAAGAGGCTCCAAATCAAATGTTCCATGAAATGAATATGAAAAATACAGCTCTGCAGAATATCTGGCAAGGCAAGAGATCTCTTAAAGAAAAACGGTGTCTTGTTATTATTCCCCAGTCTCTGACCTTTACTGCAAATACCGCACGGCAGAGACTGAGCTCATCTGACCCGACCTCCGCTCGCTCACAGCGTGGCACATGGTGCAAGATCTTTTAGCGGCTAAATGGAAGTTTAAGTTAAACTGGAGAAGTCTCCTCTCATTTAGAATGCATTGACTGTGTTTTGTTTGTCCACAGTGACTCAGTCTAGTGAGCTTCCAACTGATTCACTGCCTCACCAGTGAAACCCATGCATAAATTACAGTCAGGCTAGATCCCCTTGTTAGGGTAAACACAAAAACACAAGCATGCTCACGGTGATAGGTGATACTCTATCTTTTGCTTGCACAGATTTCGCTTTCAAAAACTGTATCTTAACTCCGGCAACTGGTGTCCCAATAAATCCACAGCATATGCCAACAAAAATGCCTGGAGTGGTAAGTTGTTGAGGGATAAACAAAGCAACAATCTACATTAAAATTAATTTTCAGTGCTTTAGTTTTATGCAAATCACACCATATTGTATATTCAGATCTTCAACTGAGCCTACGGCAGCCAGCAGTGTATGTTGCCTTATGAGAGCTTAGGTCTATTTGCCACCACAGACCCACTTTCCATAATGGCAGCAATCTGTATGGTCCAGTGCTAGCCCTGAGTGCAGCAGGCCAGAACACCCAAGGCATCAGAGCTGAGTCTATTCCCCTATCAGACACAGGCAGCCATTCCACAGTCTCTTTTCCATTTAGGCTTTATGCTCTGGGTAATGAAGGCTTTTCTTTTTCTTTTCCTGTTCTGTGGATAACCTATTGAAACCCTGCTCTTGAAGAATGATTCAAACACAGCCTTGTAAATTTCTGTTCCAGTTGCTCAGGGCCCCTTCATACTTCACTTCTACTCAGTAAATCATTGGCTCCTTTTTACTTATTTATTTATTTTTTATGAAACTAGAATTACTGCCTTGTTGTTTTACGCCTCCACCAAGCAGGCAGGTTGCAGTTTACATCTATGTCTTTCCAGACTCATATGATATGTATATAGT